GTGGTTCCCAACCTTGGGTCCCCAGAAGCCCTTGCCAGCGTAGCTAGTAGGCTTCTGGGAGTTACAGTTCAAGAGTTTCTGGGGACCCAGGGTTGAGAATCACTGCATTGGCAAGACCCAAGCAGGGCTGTCAATGATAGGGCATTTGGGAGATCACCAATCCATAGAATTGGCAGAAGGCTTGATGACACATGACAACAGCAGCAGGAGGCATTGTTCTGTGGGAGTTGAAGATGTGCTATCCAATTCCAAGGCCATTTAGTGTCTATTGTGCAAACTGTAAGGTAGATAACATGTCAGGAGTGAAGTTCCTCTAACTGATAAAATATGTCTGTCCTCCCACAAGCTTTTCTCAATTCTCATAATCCTGCTAATTGCCTTGCATTCTCTTAGCCATGAGAAGGTAAAGAAAGACTTTGTGTACAAGCCTGCCTGCTCAGGCATGAAGGAAGGAGGAAAGGCAACCTAATCAGATTCCACCACATGCTATTTGTACCTTCTACTTTGATCCTGATTTGTTAGGCTCTTTCTTGAAATGTCTTCTCCTTCTCCATTTTGCTTACATTCACTGTCTTTGGCTTTTTTTTCTTAGAAAATGGATGTGAATTGTTTTGATGTGAGGTACTTTCAGCTCTTTTATTTCTGTCCATGGAGTTTTATTGGCAGCGATACTGGAGTGACTTGCCAGTTCCTTGCTCCAGGTGGACCATGTTTAGTCAGAACTCTCCACTATGACCTGTCCATCTTGGGTGGCCCTGCATGGCCCATAGCTTCTCTGAGTTGCTCAAGCCCCTTTTTGAATTGTGGTGCTGAAGGAGACTTTTGAAAGTCCCCTGGACTGCAAGGAGATCAAACCTATCCATTCTGAAGGAAATCAACCCTGAGTGCTCACTGGAAGGACAGATCCTGAAGCTGAGGCTCCAATACTTTGGCCATCTCATGAGAAGAAAAGAAAAAAGCCCCTGATGTTGGGAAAGTGTGAAGGCAAGAGGAGAAGGGGACGACAGAGCATGAGATGGCTGGACAGTGAATTTGGTATCTTTGACCCAACTCAGGGAGACAGTGGAAGACAGGAGGGCCTGGCGTGCTCTGGTCCATGGGGTCACGAAGAGATGGACACGACTTAATGACTAAACAACAACAACAACAATTTTCAGCTCTTAACTGTGGAGCAAATCAGGAGTGAAGGTTCACCTCGGGCTCCCCAGTCTGTTCTTTATGAAATTTTTTTCATACTAGACCAAGATACTTGTTCTTGTCACTTATTTTCTTGTCACTTTTCCTCCTTTTCCTTCACTTTCTCCTCTGGGATTGGACAGAAGAAACATTTTGCCTTTGTTCCAAAGATGAGGGGACAGCTATGACTTCCTACATCTCCACTTGAATTAGCTAGAGCTAAATGGATTTCTCTAATAAATGTTTCCATTCTTATTTTCTTAGGTTGATAAGTGTGCACATGATTTCCCACCAAAGTTGGAAGTATGCTCTGTTAATTATTCTAATTTTCAGAAGCTGTATCCAGAAGTTAACACAGGGCACATATCCATTTTAGATTGGTCTAAATAGGGTCACTAGAAGGTCACACCCAAATGGCATATAGTCTGCACCAGGCCATAGTCAATTTGCCAGTACCTGTATTATGAAGTTGCTTAAAACAAAAGAGAGCCATTTCAGGAAACTGGCAAATTAAATACTTCCTCAGCTCCAATTCAGGTTCTTCAAAGAATAAATATACAGTGGTGCCTCGCTTAACGGGCGCCCCGTTTAACGACAAATCTGCATAGCGATTAAGTTTTTGTGATCACAAAAGCGATCGCATTGCAATGATTTAGATAGGAAAAATCGCTTTGCGATGATCGGTAAGTTGTTTCGCTTACCGATTTTCACATAGTGATGTTTTCCTAACAGCTGATCAGCGGTTCCAAAATGGGCGCAGGGTTAAAAAAATGGCCACCTGCTGTGTTTTCGCGCCTATTCCTTGCTTACCGGGCAGCGAAAATGGCGGCCGTATGGAGGATTTTCGCTTAACGGTGAGTTTTTTGCCCATAGGAACGCATTAAACGTGTTTTAATGCATTCCTATGGGCTTTTTTGTTTCGCATAGTGACGAATCCACATAGCGACGATTTTTCCGGAACAGCACCACTGTATATATAACTGATGCAATGTAGTGATACAGTAAAAAAAAAAATTCCTTCCTTCCCATCCCTCTGCTAAGATGCAGAGGAGTGATTAATTTACCAATATACTGAAGTGGCTTAATAAACAAGCCTGCTGATATCAGGAAGTGGCTTAATGAACAAATCACTCCTGCTGATATCATGAAGTGGCTCAATAAACAAGCCACTTCAGGATATCGGTAGGAGTGATTTCATGAGAATTGGTGGGCTTGATTAGATCATTCTATTCCAAAGTGGTCCACATTAGCTCACGGAGTGATTTCATGTGAATTGGCAGGCTTGATTAGATCATTCTAATCAAGCTCCATCTATTCCAAAGTGGTCCACATTAGCTCACTTCCTGCTGCTAATATAGCGGCACCTTCAATGCATTATCCAGCTCACTCAGCATTAGCAGCCCCTTACTCAAGCTGTGTTCACCACAAATGCATCATTTTGGAAGGCCCTCAAAATGTCCATTAAAGTTTTGTAATGTTGTCATTTTGTAATGTAAGTCCTGGCTTTTATACTACCACCCACAACTGTGTGAGTGACAAATCAAATCAGGCTCCTTGATTAAACTCTAAAATGTAACATTGTGCCTAATCAATAACTTTCTTCCTGGTGATACAATCTGTGATCAATCATCACATTGAAATTAAAAGTTTAAAACTAAGAGTTAAGAAAATTAAACTTTGCATTTTGTTACTGATCCTTTTTTAACAGTCTTTCCCCCCTTGCTTAATACCAAGTGCCATAAAATAATGGAGGTACTCACTAAAAATAAAATGAAATTCTGTAACAGTTGAATTGCTTAGTGTTCCATGTGTGGTGTGATGTTTTTCTGTGGGACTGTGTACATGTGGAATTCACCCCACTTTTTATGATCCTTTCTGTCTCACCAGTACAAAGGTGGTGAAGGGAAATTCCACACTGCCAACCTTTGTGTGAGCAGCCTGGAGCAGAAAAAACACAGAGAGATCCTTGACCAACAGCATATTTTTCTGCATCCACAGCTGTAGCTTCTGGTTTTAAGGAAAGAGAAATTGAAACTCCGGGCACACTCCATGGGAAAAACCCTAGTAAAAAGTCCCTGAAGAAGTCTGCCTGATACTACCCCGTTTTCCTGAAAATAATAGGCAATTTGAAAATAAGCCATAGTATTATTTTTCAGGATGCTCATAATATAAATCCACTCCTTCATGGATTGCTGCCTTGTCATGGCGAAGGGGCTTGAGTAACTCAGAGAAGCTATGGGCTATGCCGTGCAGGGACACCCAAGACGGACAGGACATAGTGGAGAGTTCCGACTAAACGCAATCCACCTGGGGTAGGAAATGGCAAGCCACTCCAGTATCTTTGCCAAGAACGCCCCATGATCAGAAACAAAAGGCTAAAAGATATGACGCTGGAAGATGGGCCCCTCAGGTCGGAAGGCGTCCAACATGCTACTGAGGAAGAG